TTGGGGGGGGGGGGGGGTGGATATCATGGATATATATATTTTTTAAGGGGTTTACGGGGTTTGGGTGAGTGGGGGGAATTGGCTACGTTGGATGGACTGCTGAAAGTGGTTAAAAGACGTCAAGTAATTAAACGTTACGTTCTAGACACGCACTATAGGCAAATATTCTACTACTCTAATCAGATACCGTTATTTAGTGCTGAGACATATACCGGTCTGAATATTTATACAGAGAATACGTACAATGTACGAAGTACTCTTGGTGATGATTGTCGTACTTGATCAGTCGAGGAGGAAACACAAGTCGCTGAAAATCGGTCGGATGATGCATATAATTATTAAGATTAATAAACATAAGGATCATTCGGATGAGTTTCATTAAATGTTACTTTTATAAGGCTGTACTATGTGTGTACCAAGTACCTTCGTGGTACCAGCCAAAATTTCGGTCCGTTAATTATATTTGTATCCGACGTGTGGTGATATCGTGAAGAATCGCACAGAAGCCCAGCACGGATTGACAGGTTAGGATGGGCCGGCAGGGATGGAGTCCCAGATGACGCCGGGTTCAGTGTAAACGTGAAATGTATTCGTATCAATCACGCCTTGGCCAATAATGGCGGCAGTATTTCAGTGGTCATTTGCGTTATGGCGTTATGCCAACTCGCTATTCCCCGCATTTGGTATTTCGCCGAGTTCGATCGGGAATACGTAACTGTCTGCATTTCGTTTGGTTGCCGCTGGCGATATAACGGCGCCCTGTATACCCTGTCCATGTTATCATCCATCTTCAAAGATAATGGAGGTAGGATATCGTTAGTTTTGAAAATATTTGAAAATATTAACGGGTGCAGTCCAAATAATGATTCACGGGAACAGCTCGGTGGTTGTAGGTAGCTGCTTTTTTTATTTTGCTCTTTCAAGCCAATACGACTTCCGGTACGGAAATAGAGAATTTCATGTCTCGTGATACATTCTCTCAATTACAGTAGATAAGGCTGATACCCACGTGGACGCGTCCGGCTGCCGGTGCAAGTATCTTCGTACTCCTTCCTGGCCTCCTGGTCCCGCTGGCCGTAAACGTTAAATGGCCCATTAAACGACATCGTCGAAATGCTTAGGTTCCCATTGTCTCGATCAACGCGGGCGTCGCGACGCTCTCTACGTGCGCGCATACAATAAAGTTGTCCCATAAACCACATTCTGTTAATGGTGTTGCACGACGCCGGTACGATATTTCTCTATTTCCGTTTCCTGCTGTATTCTCAGACTTTAATCCAGAGTCGAACTGCTCTAACGGGGACAGCATGATTTTCAATCGACTGGATGCTTATGTAGGCTCACGGTGGTCGGCTACACGTGTAAGGACAATCGGCTGAACTTTGTTAATATCCAACATCCGGTACCGCGATAAAGTGGTTTGAAAATTGTTTAAAAAATTGTACGACTAAGTTTTATTTTCCATTTCAATAATATTCTGCTTGGCAGGCAGTCCTCTGTTATTGGGTACAGATGCCAGGGATATCGCATAGTTTATAAAGCGTCTTGGCCTATCCATGGTAACGGAAACGAGTACTGGGTGGAACTTCCTGATTTCATTTTGACGAGTCAAGTCCGCTGGCTCTTCTTTGAGTCTAGAAAACGTAGCAATATAATTCAATGATGCTCTTGTCCTTTTGTAAATCAAATGAAATCCTGGTAATCCGACGCAGCAGGCATCCACTCTGCAACCCATTCAAAGTCGCGTTACCTCGGGAATCTTGGAATACGACGGCAATCAGGGTTCGCTGTCGCTATTCAGGCACTCCCTGGATTAACAAGCTATAGTACGTGCACGTGTTATAGGTACAGTGTATACACGGAGGATTTGTGTATAGTACGTACTACGTACGCAGAATATCTCTGCGCCCAGGATATTTCCATGGTTATGTACCTACCAGAGGTACTTCTCTTGGTGGACGCAATGTGGCGCCAGGTGTATTATTACAGGAAAACGGTACTCAGGAGCGGTTACGGATTTTCAGGAGCTCTCGAGGTGTTAACGTGTGTTTTCTCTGTATTGAAAATGGCCAAGTAATTCAGGTGAACCTCGTTCCATTCGATGCGGAAATTCGGGTAAGGCGTTGCTCTGCAAGCGAGTCTTTATTGTTTCCGAGGGACTTTCGGTAATTGGTGAATTTTCATCAGTTGCAGCTTGGTGATAAATCAGACATGGGTTGGAATTATGATTATTTAGATACAAATTTTGTACGTGAGATTATGTGTTTGCAAAGAAGTTCTGAAACTTTTAATACTCCATGCATGGGTATGGATTTATTTGATCCTGCTTTTTTTTAAATTTTTTAAGACTGTTGATATCTGGATCATTTTTATTGGTATATCTGATGATCGACCAATTTGAAATTGAAACTGTTTCACAATCAACTGCATGGGTACAGTAATAAGAAGAGTTTACTTTTCTGTAAGAATCCAAAGGGATGACGTATCCAGGTAAGACTGAAAGTGAATAGGATTTTCCAAGTCCAGGTTGAAGCTCGATGGTCTTGGGAGTAAAGTATCCCGAAACACGTGTCGCGATATTTTCCAGGAAGACAGAAGGAAGACGTGCAGAGTGAGGTGGGAGATTTTGAAGAACGAGAGACGACGTCGAGGGTGGCGAGTGAAGAAGCGTGAGCAAGGGTACACAGGGAAGATTGTACCAAGGGGTGGAAAAGTTTTCTCAGTCATCTCTCTTCCAGAGATCGTGACTGGAATATTGCGCGATACCAAGGAAGATGCATATACCGTAACCCGGTGTGTCGCGAGGACGACAGTGGGTATAAGTATAAGGGGCTGAGAGACCAGGGTAATTTTGTATGGCGAAAGGCGTAGGAGGTTCGTCCTAGGGATAAGGGGCTGTGTAGCTAAGGGATCGAGAAAAAAAGCCGACCCAGGGTCTATAAGGGTGCGAGGGCTGCTTCACTGTATTCGATATTGGAAGTGCGTTCGTGGACGGTATTGGGATTTGGGATTCGTGCCTCGCGGGAAAACTGCGCGCCGCGACGCGCTGCGTCGTAGCACAGCGCGGGAGTTAAACCAGCGTCGGGACGCTCGTAGGGTTGAACCAGGACCAGGGATGCTGTTAACGGTAACCCGTGGCAACGAGCGTCCCAACATCGATCCGAGTTTTACCGAACTCAGCCCCGCCCTGCCCGAGGTGTCCCGAAAATTTGACTTGCCTGCAAACAGCCTGGACGAAAGCATCTGTATCCTAACGTCCCGCACGCACTAAAGAGTAATTGGTAGATTAAAGGAAACGACAAACTGAACGAAAAAAAAAAAAAAACTGAGTTGAATATACCCAACTCAAAGATGTACCTACGTTAGTAGTTATGTGAATTTAGCTACCAAAGGTCTCAATGCTCGTCCTGGGATTTAGCTAATATTCAGCCGACACCCCGTAGAGTGCCTTACGAGTATTTCTCATCCCTTATATCTCATCCCTCGACCTTGCACTCTTACGCCCCCGAGCAAGGGTCAATTTTCCCCTTCTCAATCTCTCCTAACGTCCTCTACCTCTCCTACCCCATCTGCGTAGCCTCACACTCTTAATAGGAATCATTCTGCTTCAACAACATGGCTGACCTTCATGCTAGCAGCTGAACCTTTTCTGATGGGGTTCAGAGTAAGGTGGCCCACCGTGGCAGAGGCCAGTTGCGCGAAGGTCTTATCCATCTCCTCCGCCCTTCCTAGTAAAATTACGTAGCCGGGCGGTCACTTTCTCTATGCTTTCACTGAGGTTCGATAAATTGTTAGCCGACAATATTGATGGTCAGTCGTGATATTTCCCATTTCAATTTATTTCTCTTTTTCCTCCCTTTTTTTCTATTTGAAGAATATGCTCGTCCTTCTGCTACGTCGTTTCGTCTCGAGAAAAATCTTTGTCTCTCTCGACCTCCTTTCCGCACTGCTGCAATTTACTAATAGGTGATAAAGGTATCTTCGTTGTTGGACTCGAGGAAATTTATGAGGTTCTCGGTACAGATTACTCTACTCTCTATCCTGGACGAAGTTCCATGAAATCTCCTGAAGATTTCGCGGTTGGCACTCCTGCTACCAGTGCTGGTGCTGCTGCCAGGATACGCCTACGCTTTGTCCTGACAATCGATTCATCCTGAAAGGGAGGTACGGTTCTCAGGGTTGAAACGGTGGACTTTCGAAGCATCCCGATATTATGGGATTTAAAGCGTGTACCGTTGGTATCCCTTGAGAATATATCGATTCCAAATATATTCTAGCGACGCTAGATATTTAATTTTACGATGTGAGTTTATTATGTTCCAGCTCTTCAGATTCTTTCATGCATTTTTTTTTCTTTTAGTGCACTTTTTTTTTCGCCACACTTCAGCGCTACCGACTGCCAAATGCTTAGGGTGTCTGTACTAGGTATATTGCTCTTTGTAAATGCACCCAGTCGCTTTCCATTGTTTGAAATATTTTTCTATATTGTCCGTGACGAACAGTTATATGCTGTCTGCCTTCTTGGAGAGCATATATATGTATGTATATAGACGCTGTCCAATACGACAATGGAGTATTTTCAAACAAATCATAAACGATGCTAAACGGTCGCAGTGTATCTACAATAAAAACAGAATGTTTGAATTTCCAGTCTACGTACTCCTATCCCGTTTGTTTAGAATCAATTAAATTGTTCCATTGTTCTCAAAAAAAGTTATAAAGCACAGAGTGACGGGTTGTCATACGATCGTGTACATTTGCAATTTGAGAAATTCGTAACTTGTCAAATCAGGAAACGACAATGTTCACAATTTTTATCAGGTCACACAAAATTAAAAATTCTCAACTATCAATAATTTCACACTTTTTCCGTATAGAATGTTCATAGTGAAAAAAAAAATTCATCCTCCCTATACACGCGCACTCTCTGCCTAGGCAGGTAGCTTTTCATTCAGTTTCACGACTTCTTTGAACTCCATCGTGATAATCGATTTTGTTTCGCTAGCGAGTTAGCACTTCGTCCAGTTTAACCTTCCTTTTAAATCGGCTTCGGACATCCCTTCAATAATTTCATTATCCTTGAAGAATTTTCAACGCGTCCCGTTACCGAAAAGCAACGCGTTTGATAATTCATTCGAAGTGAAACGGTACAAGTTCAATAGACATAGAATTAGTCCTGGACTAGAATAATAAACCGTGTATACTTTCGTATTATCAGAGTTTATAATGTCTCAGCACTATATAGTTCGGTCTCTTATCATTATAGGTTAATTGTTTCGCTTGAATGAAGGAAAAGTTTTTTTTTTCAAACAATAAATATCCGTCCAATGGCATTACCGGTCGATTAGAGATGCACATACATTACGTTGGATATAATCATCGGTACGTATCGATACGTAACAATAGATCGAAGGAAGTCCTGCACATTTTGCATATCTAATTTACCTTGGAGTTATAGGTCGCATGTAAACAAGTCGTCCATCAAAATACGCCAGGAAGATCATTGGACGGTTTGACGGATTTCAGAATATATTTGGACCATAACGAACGATATCAAGGATAATAGATATTCTCGGTGGATAAATCGAAATCCGTCATTTAACATGAAACACGATCTCATTACTAAACTGCCTTTTTTGGATAGTCTGTGGATCTGTTTCTTTTTTTTTCAAAGGCTGTTATCTGGTATAAAGGCAAGTGCATAAATATAACGACACGACTACAGCGATTTGTCGCAACATCCTTAAGATGTCGATAATGCAGATTTTGAAAAAAATGTTTGTAAATTCGTATTTCTTTAAATTCAACGTTACACCTATGTAATCGTAGTCAAAATGACGTCACACAGTTCTATACAGGATATCGCGAAGATGTCGCTGCAATCGTTCTCCGCACAAAGTGTAACGTAAGTGAAGCTGGTCACTCACCTCCGTAGTTCGGCCTTACTCTTTTATCGTAACTGACGGAGAAGGAGTCGAGGATCGCTGAGATGTTGACGTCGCCCAGCATACTGCCGCCGCCGGTTCTGTAATCGAAAGAAGGGATTTTTTTTTTACATTCACATTGCTCCGGTATAGTAGACTTCGAATTTATTACCGACGATAAATCTGAGCATTCGCCTTTAACCTTCTACCGGATAGTAGTTCCCCCTTCGTGGCGAATGTCGAAACCAGTTCCGACTGAGGGGGATTCGACGCGATTAAAAGTACGACGCTTGCACTTTTGTTCGGCGACGCCAGGCGTCCCAGTATCTTTGACAGATAACGTTCACGCATATACATATATGCATATACAGATACGTTGATATCGCCTAGGACACATATATTTTATGAATGTGGAACCATGTTGTATATTTCTTGTGCCGCATTCAATTTCACTGATAAATTCGCTTTCGTAGCGTGTGATACGTGATTGGAGCTACGTGGGAAAGTGCGGTTTTTCGAACGCTCGGGAAATTGGACGTTCGTTATCCTTTTGTGGCCGTCATTCTCTCTATACGTACATCGAGCAGAAGGAAAATCGGAGCATGCACCGTGTAACGTTGGCAAAACTGTAGATAGGTAGGCAATAGGTACAGTTTTATTGACAGCAGGTTGGAACTTGAGGGACTTGCACGATGCTTGTTTTATCACTTTCCATGATATATCAAACCTGCGTGGATGATAGATTTATGCGAGTTCACGATACGGAACGTGTGACGCAAGTTCTGTCCAGGCTAAAGGCAGTTCGATCGTTAATGGTGGCAATGATGTGCAGTAGTAACGATAGTAGTGAAGTCTGCCGAGGGATGCGTCAGTGTCGGATGTTTGAAAAACTGAGATGAATTGAATTTTTCTAAATAAAATATAGATATAGATTTTTTTTTATCACGACAAATACGTGAAATGGTTCTAGGTATTGGATTAGCTATAGCGATGGAGATTTATCCCGAGTTTTTTTTTGTACTGCGTTGAGAATCGAATGAGTCTCCCAGTGACGTTTCTATGAAAACATGTTTTTCCATACGGGTCCACAACGCGCGTCGCGAGATATGTAAATACGCAGGATGCAGACTCGTGAGATTTATACTGTTTTCCTATAGTCATTTCTGTCCTGATTTTAACCCCTTTTTTTTAAGGCAGATTCTTCTTCATACATTTTTTCTCCCTTCGGCATTAGATTATATTATGAGCGAGCCTGTTGAGGAAAAGAGACATCAGAGTTCAAAGGGTAAATCAGGTAAATCATGCAATAATTATATATATTTTTGTCCCTTTCAACGTCTTCGCATTTAAATAACGTAATTCGTTTTTAATCTTGACAGTCTTTATTAATTAGGCAGCGGAAAAGTGAATCATTAACGATCTTTGATAGGCAACTCAAGAATAAATTCTATCAATAACCATCCCTTTCGAAGCAAAGTGTTGAGGTGTTGATGTATAAGTAGTCGGTCACGTTCACGACATCTCGATAAGAAATATTTTCAGGTAAGAATATATAGAAAGAAGGAGGTCGTTGTTCGTACTGTTATCAATCACCAAAAGTGCCTATTACTGTCTTTCATACACCTAACCTAGCCGGGTAAGATTCTCAATATCGTGCGTGCGATTTACACGTCCACTTTGCGTGCCATAAAACAGCCCTTTGGGAACGATGCATTATGCATCGATTACTTTCACCACTCACCCTTATATACTACCAGAATTTTATTTTACGAATGGATCCCGCACGTCTCGTTCGATTTTGGCGCCATTTATTTCCAGCGTTACACGACCAGGTGGCGCCACTTTGCTCTGTCAGTGTCAATTAAATCCATTGCTCAAGTGTTCGTAATATGTTCATATATTAAGCAGACAATTAATAAAAAATGGGTAAATAAAATTCTTCAAACAAAGATTTTACAGGATAATGTCTCGAGGTCATCGAAGATAAACAGTCTCTAATCTCGAAGCATTAAGTTGCTCGTGCCGTAAACTTTACCGTCAGCTGATTGGCTCTGGTGGACGGATTGGTGTTCGAGCCTATGTTATGTAAATCTCAAGTGACTGCTTATCGACTGACGTTGAGATAAGCACAAGTGTTGTGTTGAGGGTAAGTGGGTGACCGTTAAAAAACACGCTTAGTCTTTCGTTTTATCGCTGCTTATGTTATTCATTCTTTTCCTTATCCTGCTCTTATCACCGATCTTAATTTTTCATTTTTTTTTCACTCGGGGGCATGGAAATACTCGATGTCCCGGATCTCGACGAAATCTACTAAGATCCAATGTACTCAAGCTACTCTGCCGGCAATTACAAATCGGAGCCAATGGAGGAGGATAAATCTCATTGGACTATCGATCAAATACCGATTCCACCCCCGGAGGCGATCACCGTTTATTTTCCTATCGTCTGGAATGGTTGGCGAGCTAATTATACTTCGGGTAGTACTTCATCCGTTGAGTACTGCCAAGAGCCAATGTGCTCCTGCCCCAAGGGATCTTCAAACTTGTCGAGTGTACTGGTTATTGTACTTTGATAGAGACTGGATTCGGTTAAGAACTTTTTATGGACAGTCCTATACATATATACTGCGTCCAATTGAATTTTCAACAAATATTTTCAATCAATTTAATCAATATTTATTATTTCTAAAATTAAGGCAGTTTATGCTTCGATCATGCCCTGAATGACTGTGTGTTCTTATTCTTGTGGGTGGTCGATCAGACATCGGTTGGTCTACGTTATAGAAACTTTAGACTCTGTAAGCGCCAATCTTAACGTAATAGTATCGACAATTGACAATAGGGGGGTTGGATGAGGTACAGGCGTGATGAAAGTTCAATGCCTAACGTATCGTCAAATAGAGTCACTTTGATAGAGATAAATGATTTGATAATGCCCTTGGACCTCGTGGATCCCCTCCTCGGATGGGCCACTCTTTTCGGTATATGTAAAAGATAGATGGATTTTTAAGTAGTAAAAAGTTTGTTGGTTCTAGCGTAACAGGAGTGAAAGTTTTTATTGTCATTTCAGGTCCACCATCCTTCCAGCTCAGCCCTTTTTCTCTACTTTCTTTCTAATTCTCCATAACCAGCCCCCTCCCACCTCTTCAACCCACTCTCTCGCTCTCTCATTGAATTTTTCTTTGACTCGCTTACTCCTTTCACTCTCGCAGTCATCTCTACCGGCCTTCCTCGGAAGGAAAGTCAATATCTCGAGCTGGCGCCGCGCGTAAACGCACTGACGGATCAACTTTAGACCAACCTCTATGGCGCGGTAGGTATCAGCCTGTTAATTTAACAAATTAGATTTATTCACAAAGAACATCTTCTTGACACGTATATGTGTATAGCTTCTATTAATATAATTAAATTCTTCTTACGATACTGTGTTATCAAGAATTTACTTAGGATCAACTAATGATAAGTTAACTTAGTTTGTTATATCTATAGCTCAGCGGGTGGGTACGGACTTTATTCATTTTATCTTAGTACTTGGTATCCCTGTTTTACTTTATTTATGCTTTTTATATCTCTCTCTGCTTTATGCTAAGGTTCAGCAATTTTCTTTGTAATACTTGAATATAACTCTCGCTGGGATGAAGTCGACTTGTGGGAGCTCTAAATTAGCCTTGGTGGTCGAGCAACGTACTATCTAATTATTAGTCTGTAATAATAAACTTTCCTTTTCCCATTTTTTTTTCTTTTCTTTTTTTTTACGGGAGTTGTGCAATCTATTCAAAAGTTGAGCCCCGTCTGGTTTGGTAAAAGGGCAAAGGAGGCGCTGACATTTTCCACAATATTCTATTCGAGTCATCGAGCTGCTCACCACGACCTTCTGACACTTTTAGAATACGTACAGTCGCGGCAAAAAGATTAACCGGCTTGCTATTGTGTCACGAGATTTCGTGCTGTTTGAAAAGTTTATCAAGGACTGTTAATTCGACGACGTCAGTTCCGTCACTGTTGCCATGCGGCGATCTGGTGGAATAATTACAGAAAGGGAAGCTATTGCTCTCTGTGGAAGCTGTTGGCTTTCTTGTTTCTTAATGTAATACCAGGAAGTTGACGCCGGGAATGGGATCTGTCTTGGAGCTACTTACAATCTTGAAGCGAAGGGACGTTGGGTTGATAATCCTTGAGTCTTTTTAATCATTGACAAACTTTGATTTCAGATGCTTTTATGTTTTTAAATAAAAATCGTAAATCTTTCTTCTCAGTTTTTTTTTTCACTGCGATTCTGTAAAATTTCTTGATTTTTCTGAATGACTTTTCTCAAGTCTCTTGACGCATTTTTATTTTAGTTCGCTTCCTACAGCTTCTATGATTTATCATGTTTCAGAAATTAAAGGTATTCAATGTCTGAAAGGTGAGTTGATTTAAATTGAAAGACACACGAGTGTACGGCCCTGAGAAATTTCCTTTCAATCAACGTTGACGTCGTACTCGCTGCGTTCGGCAGTAGCGATATTTCCTGCTCCCGTGCGGTAACGCTGCTTCGACAATTAAATTGAATTGAATTTTAAATCAAAGTATTCCACGGGAACGTGAATTTCCATTTCCCAAACTTTCAAGAGTACTTGACCTTAGACTCATCCTCTCAGCAACTTCATCCACTCCACTCACTGTACACTATGTTTTTCTCTATCTTTACCTTTCGCTGTCTCGCTCTCTCAATTACTACTCAACTCCTCCACCTTCACTGGCTCTTCTTCTTTTTCACGTGAAATGATAAAATTTGCTCTTTCGAATTTTCCATCTTGAAGTTGCTTTTTGCTTTCGCATACTTTAGGAGGTATCTACACTTACTTATATACCTATCTATTTATTTATCCACCTATATATTCACCTTCACGGTGCATCTGAATTCCTTCCTCGGATTTTTGTTCGCCTCTAACTTTCCTATACCTACTTTTTCCACGACCCTTCAACTATCCGCAGGTACCTGTCCTGTCCGACGATCTGTCTATTCATCCAACAGATATTTCTCTTCTGCTTAAAAAGACAACCTAAGCCTCCTCGAGACCCACTATAAACATTGCAAACGGGCTTTCCATGTATTTTTC